GCCGGGGCGCAGCCGGCGGCGGCAGCGGGGCAGCGCTCGCAGCCTCGGCCGGGGGGACGCGCCGCTCTCGCACCGCTGGGGCGCTGCCGCCGGTGCCCGGGCGCGGGAGGAGGTAAGAGCCGCCGCTCCCCGGGCCGGGCCGGACCGACCCCCGGGGCAGCGCCGGGGCTGGGGGAGAGCGAGGGGAGGGCGCCGCGGGGAGCGGGGCGGGATCCGCGGCGCGGAAGCCTCTCCCTGCGGCTGCTGGGCGGGAAGGGCCGCGGCAGGGCCGCCGCTGTTCCCCCGGGGCTGGCACGGCACGGAGAGGGGCTGGGAATGGCAGGGAGCGGGGCTGGGAATGGCAGGGAGAGGGGGCTTGAACGGCCCTGCCCGACGAACCGCGCAGCTTTTGTCACGATGCACAGAATAAACCCGGTTCTGTGATCAGTAAACTAGTCATTCGTGATTAGTATATTGCAGCGGAGTCGTCTTTAAATTGCTGCTGTATGTGTGCAGTTCGCTGTCGAGGCGGGGGGGGGGGGGGTTGATTTTTTCCCAATTAAAAAAAAAAAAAAAAAAACAACAAACCAGCTCTCTGATTTAAGTCGATCTTAAGATAACAGTTAACATACCCTTCGGTCCCGCCTGCATCTGTGGGGTTTGGAAGGCACGCGAGGCAAGTGCACTTGGAGTTGTACATTCCTTTTCACATACGTTGGATCCCCCGGAGCAGCAGGCATGCCTTCGCTTTCTTCCGGGCTTCCTTTTTTTTCCCCCCTTTTTCTTCTGGCAGCCTGGAAAATTTCCATCTGCCGAGCAGCAGCCAGCCTGTAAAAAGGGGCACCACGCATGTCGAACTGCAGTTTTAATCGCTCACTGCCTTGAGCATTCTATTTCCCTTCCTGCCTGCAGGAACTGTTTCTCCGAGTTAAATGCGTACAGGTGAACAAGATCAGATGGAGAGCCTCAAAGCAGTTTTCCATCTAGAACTGTCCATCTTGCACTTGGGCTTTAGCAGCAGTGCCCCTCTCCCTTTTCAATACCTCAGTTCGTGTTTGCAGACATAGCAGCTAGCAAAGCACAGACTGTTGTATGTCCAGCTAAAAGCAACACTGTTTACATAACAGAAACTGAAGAGCAGGTTCCTGCTCCTGACTTGCAGAGACGCTTGAAAACCAAAACTGTCGTCAGCATTTATTTTTGGCTGGAATAAGAGGCCTTCCGAGAGTTGAATTTGATAGGGAACAAATGCATTAATTAGCTTGTGAATTTGGACTGATCCTCTGATTCATGCTGTGGATACAGAGGAATCTAAATATAAGTAGCATTTCATGTCCTCTTCTCAAAGTGACAGAAGTGAAAACGAGTGTGGGTTTTGTTAATTGGCAGGCTTTCAATTTGCTAGTGCTGTGCTTCACAGAAGGAAGTTAAGGTGCTGTTGTTACGATTCAAGGCTAACAGGAAAGAAAAAGCAACTTGAGGAAGTAAATCAGTTTTTAAATACCTGTAAGTACACTGAAATAAGGATGTGATATTGCCATCACCCTGCAGTAAAATGGAAAATCTTAAAATTCCAAGTGGTTCCACATTCAACTGATGCAACAACAGTGATTTCCAGAACATTCAGCCTTTTATCAAGTCACGAGTTAACTTTTAAGTGCTAAGTAAAGAAACCTTTCCTCTTTCCATGCAGAAATTGCATGAAAGGTAAACCAAGAACATCTAAAGCAACATGCTTTGAGCTGTGAACAAGTTTAATGAATACCTCCCAAAAGCTGTGTCACTGCCATTTTCTACTAAAGCAGCCACTTACTAAGTTACCTTCGACTGCATGTTTTTTACAAGCACACGGATTTTATGCAGCTATTTAAAAACACAGTTTTAAAAAATATTTCGGATCTACAGATACACTTGTGACAGGCTTGGGGAAAGTACCAGAGCCAGGCACGCCAGCCCAGAATTACAATGTCTCTGGGGTACACGTGTTGCTCTTTGCTGCTAGATTATGTCAGACTACTCTGGTGCCTTTTTTTTTTTTTTTTTTTTGCATTCACCATAAACCTGGATATTTTTAGTTCCTTTATTATGGCATATAATACCTTTCACTCATAATTTTGCTCTCAGCAAACTTTAAGCAATTAAGTTAGAAATCCCTCACTTAAAATTTTGCATGATTAGTTACAGTGATCTGATGGTCCAGTTCAAATTACTCTGGTGCAACAACACGTAGTTACCACAAACTGCATCCCAGAGTTTCACTGAGTTAGCTATTTCTCTACAAAAGGTCAAATAAGCCAATCTTTGAACATTTTTCAGCATACTAGATGAGTCATCATTAGTGAATTTTTGTCTGTGCTGAGCCAAGGGGAATGTTTTAATTTATCTGGACTGCAAAAGAGAGCTGAGAAGCCAGTAGAAGATCTTGCTTGCCTATGTTAGCCAAAGGAATCCACTTCAGGGTTATGTGGCAGAAAACTTCAGGCTAGACAGAAGAGCAAATACCTACATGGGATTTGCTTGAGGGGGAAGATTGTGGGTGCAGTTACGGATGTCCAAGGATACACTCTTAGTGGTCATTCTCAGTGCAAAAAAAAAATCACAATTAACTTTGCAGGTTTGTGTTGAAAAGTATTGTTCAAGACCTCCATAAACGTGACAGAACTGAATATCCCATGCAGATGAAAAAAGGCTTTAAAATCTAAGCAAGTACATTTCTCCCCCCTTTTCCCCGGGGAGCCACAGTGCAGATGTTTGGAAAGCACGTATGATAAGCTCATTTTCACAACCTTATCTCATATTTTCACATACACATATTTTAGTAAAATCATTGTCACTCTCATTTGCTCCATCATAACCACCCCAACCATGGAAAATTGGGGATGTCATTTTGCAGGTGGCCAGCAGGAATGCCTTACCTTGTTCTGCCTGCAGCACTCGGGTTAGATGTGGGCTGCTGAGTGCAGGATAGTTTGTCAGTGAGTCACACAGACCGCCCTGGACTTGCTTCCAGGCAGAGCTGTGCTTGGCATGATTAGCAGGCTCTGAGGGTGACATTGTTTCCTGAATGATGTAACTGAAAATTCTCCTTTCCCGCGCTTCTTGTTTCCTGATCAGTTTCCTCATTGTTCTCCAAGACATTCCAGCAGCTGCAGTATCTTTTACTCCTGATCTTTTTTCCCTGAGAATCTCTGTGAAGACAAGTTATGTCAACAGCTACTTTAATTAATTTGGTACGAAATGGAGGGTATCAAGTAAGAAGGAGAGCCGTGCTCACATCCCGCCTCTTGCAAGACGAGAAGCGCCCAACAGGCGCCTGCTACGTCTCCAGCTCTGAGCGCCATGCTTCCCGCTTCGATCCGGACGGGAGCGGCCGGCCGACCACATGGGACACCTTTGGCATCTGGGACAATCGCATTGACGAGCCTATTCTCCTCCCACCAAGCATAAAGTATGGGAAGCCGATTCCTAAAGTGAGCCTGACCAACGTGGGCTGCGCGAGCCACATCGGGAAGCGCAAGGAGAACGAAGACCGGTTCGATTATTCTCAGCTGACGGAGGATATCCTGTACTTTGCAGTATACGATGGACATGGTGGGGCAGCAGCAGCTGACTTCTGTGATAAGTACATGGAAAAATATATTAAGTAAGTGCACATCAAGGGAATGTGTGTCAAATAAATTTCAGCAGAGATTCCTTCCTTAGGACTGAGAGAGAATCGGAGGGTTTTACCTTGTTGTTAATCTTCCTAGATTATGTAGCCACCTGTCCTAACGGGACAGCAGGAGCATCAGGTGGAACAAACATGCTATGAACTACTTATTCTGTGTGGTGCCTGCCCTATGGAGCAAGCCCACAAACACGAGAGAAAAACACGATTGTACTCACCATCCAGGAAATGACTGGGAACACAGGGAGAGTGTGAATTGACTGTTTTCACATGAGGTCACTGTGATTGCTGACCTGCAGTTTGCTTACACTCTTTTCTCTCTATCCCATCCCTGGATGTTGGAAGAGGAACTTACATACTTGCAGAATTACAAGATTATGCTTCCAGTGCAGGTCATTAGTAAAAACCATGTTACCTTTTCACTGAAATGCAGCATTATTCAATGTGTGCAAGGAGGAGATAGGAGTATGAAGCAGATTGATCAAGATGTGTATTTCTTGGAGAGAAGTTTAGTTTTTTGTTTGCTTGTTTGTTTCCAGGGAATTTCTTGCTGAGGAGGAGAACTTGGAGAATGTTTTGAGCAAAGCTTTTCTAGAAATAAACAAAGCCTATGAAAGGCATGCTAATCTCTCTGCTGATGGTAGGTAAAAAGATATTCTATTCATATGGGTGTGGACAATAAAGTATGTCTTATTTGCTCAGTAGTATTGCAGTAAAATGTCCAGAAAAGTGCTTGAAACCAGTTTTACTTAACACAGGATTTAGCTCTGATCACTTAACTGCAAATGAAACAATTATGGTTTACACCTCCTTAAAATGAAATAGCTACCAAAAGTCTCAATCAAATTTACCTTGGGAGTTACGAATCTGAACGTTAGCATAATCATTAGTGAATTTCTCTTCATGTGATTCTGTCAAGGACAGTGTTTGTCAAGGTAGCAAAGAGCAATTTAGATTTGCAAGGACCATAATTTTGTTGTGCAAGAAATGTGGAAGGGGGTTGGTTTTGTTTGGGTTTTTTGTGTGTGGGAGAAGTGGTGTTTTTATATGTTTGTTTGTTTGTTTTGAAGCTGTTATTCCTATGGTTTAAAAGCAGCAATGTCAAAGTTCCCCTTTCTAACTTGGCTGCTGCACCTGAGGAGGAACATAAGCCACAATTAATGCAACTGATATTGCTTCTGCACAAACAGAATCACAGGAGTAGCTGAGTGTGAAAGGGAAAAAAGCAGTGAAGAGGAAAACAAGTTTGGCTGTGGTAAGGCTGTGGTTAAAGCTGGCACCAGCCCTTTTAGACTCTGTAATCCTGGCTTTTAATAAAGTTCTTGTGTATGTGTCTGGAGATTAAGTACATCTGAAGTTCCAGTTCCAGCAACTGGAGTTTATAGAGAGTAACTTGGGAAGGGAGATAGAGGTGCCTGTCCCAGTTCTGTCACAGGAGTTTTCTTGGCTACGAGATAAAATTTTGAGAGTCAGTTTAGCCAATCTTAAAACAAACCCCACGAAACAAACAAGCCCAATTAAAAAGAAAAAACAAACACCAACAAACACAACAATGAAAAGACCCCAACCACCTTCCCCACCCCAAACAAACAAAACACCTGTCCCAGTGCTGGTGCAGGCTCTGGCAAAATGACTGAGGTTGTTCCAGAATGGAAACTGTAGAAGTCTTCTCTCCAAGAAAGACTGGAAACCAACAAGCTCTCTAGGGACTGAAGTGATACTGTATTCTCAAGCTGCTTTTCTTAAGCAGGGAATGACTACAATCAAATAATGGAATGGCTTCCTGCACTTTAACTGCTAGATGAATCTAGGTAGACTCAAATTATTTCCTGGCAGGACACAGGTAGCCTGACTGTTGCAGCACTGTGAGGGATACATACTTTTCCTCTTCCTTGGTACAGGCTAAGGTATCAGGAAAAAATTCTTCAGTCCTGAAATGCAGCCCTTAAAGGTATTAAATCTATAAATTTCATTTTCCCATTGTATTTCAGTGGTAAAAAAGTCAGGAGTCACTTTTGATCTATGGGGTGAGTTTTAACCGAGCTCATGAGAGACTCATCGGTAGAGCAGACGTGCTTTTTATCCTAGAGCCTCCTTGCAAATATGTTTTCTTAAAAGCACAAATCCAAGACAGCATTTGAATGCTAGTTTATGTGCTTTCCTGGATCAGAACCTTTAATTTTCATTAACATGAAGATCTATTCATCCCCCTCCCTGCCCCCTGTGAGTAGGACAACTCCTGGTTCGGCTCATTGCAGTAACCTCTGCTAAGTGTCAGAGTGGCTCCTTGAGGAGAAGGATTGAGAACTGTGTTTGATATATTATTCTGTTATTCTGAAAATGGTTTCCAATTAGAATATTTTGTACCTGAGACTTACAGAACTGGATTAGAACAATATTTCATAGACAAGTTGTGCAGCAAGCTGAGCATTTTAGAACTGCTTGTAGGATTTTTTTTCATATCATTTAACTAACTGGTGCTGCCTAATGCCAGCAAACTTATGCAATGGTTATCAGGATACTGGACAAGACCTCTTAATAAAAAAGCTTGAGGTCAAGCAAAATAGAAGGTAAAAGCATTGTCAGACATCCACAAGGGCCACACTCTGGCAGGCACTCAGTGTTTGTCAGGTAGGCTGAGCACCTGCAAGCTCTTGAAGGAGCCTGTGGGATCTAAGTGCCCAGTGCTCTTGGCTGAAAATCAAGCTCTAAGGCAAAGAATGGAGTAACAGGGTACGGATTTATGAACAGATTAAACTTGTTGCATATCTGTTGCTAAAATAATTCAATACCATGTTTTGGCTGCTTTGTGTGGATATTTTTGTTGTTGCTCATGTTTTGAAAGTTACATAAAATTTCAGTGCTTGGCATGTGTCTGTTAGAAGCCTAATTCCAAACTGATTCAGTTTGCCAGCAAAATGTCTGATTAATTGTGGCTATTCTAGATGTGACAGTCCAGACAGTTGCTAGAATATCTTGAAGATGGTGGCTGGTTGTGCAATGGTGTGTCTGGGATATGCTGGATGGTCCCCAAGACTGACCTCCTTTAGAAACCTGGCCACAGCTGATGAAGTGGGGAATGATAGCTTAGTCTTGTTCCAGTAAATGGCCCTTCCAGGGCTCGTTCCTTTCGCTGTGTCTGCAAAAAAAACCCCAAAACCAACAACAGTGCATGTTGAGGATGTCCAGGTCTTTGCTAACACACAGCCAAATTTGACCTGGGTGTGTACCTGGGTGTTTGAAGGAACCTAAGTCCTGGGACAAATCCCTGTAGCCAAGACTGCGTGTTTAAGGCATTGTTTATATTTTCTATTTAAGGGGTAAAAACCTCACATAATGGCACAAATTTAACAGAACTAGAGATGTGCCTTGTTGGAGCCCCTAGCTATGTCTTCAAGACAAAAAAGGTACTTGCTACTGTGTTTGGCATACAGTTCACTAGTGCTGTTGGAGGGCTGTGCTGGCCTGCTGGAGACTGTCACTCTGACAGTGATCTGTACCTGTTGCTTCACACAAAAGCATAAGAAAGTTGCTGTAGGCATGTCTGGGATAATCTGTCCTCTGCCTAAATCCTGTCTAATCATTAACAGCTTGGAGATACGCCTGAGCCCTGGAGCTTGGTGTTTGGTGTCTCTTCAAAAATGCATTTTCATTCCCTTCCACACATTTAAATATATCCAGTCACTTTCAAGTCACAGCTAAACTTAGGTATAGGGCACAGCAAAGGAAGCTCACATCCAACCAATGTCATTATCCATGGGACAACTGCCTCAGATAGGCAGAATTTTTGGATATTTTTGACCAGCCATAAAAACAGAAAATGTAAAGGCTGAATAGCTTTACTCAGCAAGGACTGAAATAAGAATGTGAATTGTGTGCTTGAGGGAATTAGAGCATTTCCCTGGAGAAATGTAAGATAAACCCTTTTGCTGGCTCAGTGCAGTCACACAAGGTATTGTTACTGCTTTTGTTCACTGTGAGCCACTGCTCAGAGAAAACTACAGGTGGTCTGTCCATCAACCTCCACAGTCAGTGCATCCAGCTCTAACCACATTGACCACTCACTTCTGGAATAGCCATCTTACTAAAACATAGCCAGGTATTAACTGGTGTGTCTAGGTTTGAAAGGCACCTCTTGAACATTTTTATGCTGAGCAAACAGCAAAAGTTATTTAAAAATAATTAAATTTTAAAAGTAGTGGGGTTTGGGTTCGTTGTTTTTTTTCAAGTTGCCATTCAAAAAATGATTTTTATTTCTTTACATATGTTAACCTGCAACACTGAGGAAAAGGGAGAGCTGCAGAAATTGTACTTAAGTATTTCCTAAATCCATCAACATTGCAAAGGAAGCCTTTTAATCCAAGGACCCTGATTATAACCTAATCAAGTTAGAAGCTACTAATTACAATATTAAAGGGGTGTTAATTTTGCATATTTCCCATGGGTCAGAACAATTCATATACTTCTATTCAGTGCCTTTAAGATGGCCCCATTTCAGTTGGCACTGGTTTGGACTCCCTATTTTGGTGTTTTATATATATATATAAATAAATTGAGGAAACAGATTTGGCCATATTCTGTACTAAAGATGTTCTTCAAAGTGGCCACTCTTACCATATATGAGGTAGCTGGCCCTCTAGCATTGATAAAATTCTTTGGTTGATTTGTTGGTTGATTATTTATCTGCACAGGGGGGAAAAAAATGTAGATTTTATTTTGGCTGAATTTAAAATGGTTTTGTCACACAGTTATAGAAAGAAGGTAAGAACAGTGGCAAGAAACACCCCCAGAAACACCAAGGCTGATTTATCTGTGGCCACAGGTGCACATGTAAGCCTGAAGCGCTTCCCATCTGACCTGCACAGACAGTGCAGGCAAACGTGAGAGTGATACCTCCCCTGTTCTGCAGCCCTTACTCTTTCATCTCCAGTGTTGCAGGTTTATTTTGTTTGAACAAAGTCCCTGGGTGAATTTCCTATTTGCCTCTGTGTGCGTGTTATTTGTGGCAGACACTGTACCTGGTCAGCAGCTCTAGAACTGGAGGCCCTGGACATGTGCTGGGCTTCAGTGGAAAGAGAGATCTGCTTAATTTTGTCCCAGGTGAAGGAGTCCGGCGGTTCCTAGCCTGGACTACTGGAAGGTTCCCACATCCTCTTTGTCACATTAGTTGAGATGACTTGCAGTAAAAGTTGTCCAGTGAGTGTTAAGAACCTATTGAAAGATCTTAGTTTTATAGTGATATTGTTAGGAAAACAAAATAAACTCTTTAATTGTTAAAGTCAATACATATGCTGATGCAACATATTTTGTATTGTTAAATAAACTAGCAGCAGTTGTTGTAAAGCATTAGAAATGTTTTCCCATCATCATTCCTGTGGGTTGGAGTTGTGCTAGAAATCACATAATGCTGCATCCATGTTCTTGCATCCCTACCCAGATCATGAACTGGTTCCAAGAAGAGATCATGAGCAGCATTTGTGTTTTTTCTAGAAGTGCTATTTAACTAATAAACTATCAAGTCACTATGTCCATTATTACCACAATTCTGGAAAATATCTTGACTTGTCCTTTAATACCATCACTTGATTTTGTGATAGCAGCTCTTTTCTTTGGGCGTTTGCACTCAAAAGATGCAGATTCACCCAAATGTCCAAGTGTTCTCAGTCTTCTACGAATTAAAGGCTACGGATCTCAACTTTTTCAGAAATACTTTGTGTTTCTCAGCATAGTCCCAAAACCACAGAATGAAATGGGAAAGTAGCAGCAATTCTGCATTAATTTTAACGTCTAAGTAAAATGTATTTTCTGTTAAAAAAAAAGGTAGTTTTATGTAGGTTCTTTATTTCACTTCTTTTAACTGTTGGCTAAAACAGGTATTTTACTGGCTCCACTGAAATTCCTAGTCACACTGGTACTTGTTAGCATCTCACTTTCATAGTGTGCCTCAAAGTGAGGCTGCACCAAACTAGTCCTTGCTTCAAATTAGAAACAAGATGTCAGTGTTTGCCTGAACAGTCCAAAGCTGCCGGTGTCTATTTTGGAATATCACAGCCTGCATGGCAGCCGTGACATAGTCCAAGGTTTGGCTTTGCTTATGTTCACGATGGACGTGCTGGTTCAGTGTACAGCTAAACCAAGTCCTTGCTGCAGTAATAATACCTGTTTTAAATAATAACACAAGCTTAGTTAACACTGTTTTGTGAGGGTGTTTTTCCTTTTGATCCATCAACTCGCTGATTTCACTGCACAACAAGGCTCAATGCACCTTTCAGGGCTTTGTGCACTTCAATTTACTCCCAGCTCTGTTTTACTTACAGGGTGTTGAGGCCTCATAGGGTTGGGAAAAGAGGTTGTCAAGACCCCAGAGCAGTTGCATTCCTGTTGCTGTTTGCTGGCAGCTGGTTAGAGATGGGGCTGGCTGGCATTCCTTGGGATCAAACATGCAGTCCTGTCTCAGATCTGTCTCCATTCCCTGGAGTCAGGCCTGCAGGGCCAGATAGTTGTAGCTGAGCTCTGCAGAAGCAGTGATGGAAAGATATTTAACTGTTAGTGACATGAAAACAGGAATATAACTGGGGCTTTACATTCCTAAGTAAACCCAAAACTCACCTCCAATTGGCTTGCTTTGAAAAACTGGAACTGGAAAAGCCCAGAATGCAGGTGACCCACAGAGGGCCTTTCAAGGGGATTTGGCTGTGAATGCAAATGTTTTCCAGGCAATAGCTTGTCCTGGCCAGACATTTTACTGTAATAGCTCAAGTCAGCTGGAGTAGCTGCTTTCCAGGCAACTCTCACTGGGTTACCTTTGCAGAATTTGCAGGAAGGGAAGGTACTAGCTGTAAAATGGGACTACTCCTTTCAAAAAGCAAAGAAAAAAAGGAAAGCTGAGCAGTTCTTCTCACATTTTCTTCACTGCAGATAAAACTACAGATCTTTTCTAAAATATGCAGACTCACATTTCTTCTTTTCAAGCACTTCTATTTATTCCTGAACATTGTAGAAATCTAAATGAAAAGCCCTTAAATTTACTTGCCCTGAGTGCAGTCAGCCAGCTCAGCTCACTGTAAGAGAAGGAGCACAGCACCCAGGGCTCTGTTTTGCCCTCTAGGCAGTCAGTCTACACCCTGTAAATGATCCCAGCAGTGCCCCGGGGCAGGTTGTCTGGGCAGCCACTGCCACCTGACTGCGCCAGTTTGCAGGCAAGGCAGAATCCCAGAATCCAGCTTCACCTTTTCACCTCCAGCAAATTGGCAGGATCTGAAGGGAGTAGTGTTCCCCCCTGAAAAAGGTCAGTGGTCTGTTGGCTGAACCCTTCTTCCCTTGGCAAGGCTGGGAGAAGCAGAGAGGGAGTGTAACAGCTCTGACAGCAATGGGAGGGTGCCACAGACTGGTAAAGGAGGGATCTATTGCTTTTCCTCTGGTGACCTACATGGAGCTACAATTACTATTACTCAATCGCCTGCTTCACCACCTAACAGAAGGGAAGAGCCATCACCTTTATGGTGAGCTACCTGTGCAGTCACTGTGCCCAGGGATAAGGACAATATCAATGTAACTTGAGCTGAGCTAGTGGGACAGAAAAAACTATTTGCTACAGGCTGAAAGGATGCCCATGTAAGTTGCAGTGCTTTTGTTCCACTTGCCCTGTTTGCATGGAGCCATGTTGTTGCACAGGAATACTTTCCATTTCCTCTCTCTTTCCCCAGTCCTACATGCATGCATGTTTGCTCTTTTTTTTTTTTTAATGTGTAGATTTAGTTTAAACTTAGAAGCAATTACTTACTGGTTATGTAGAGCACATGTTGTCTTCATTTTACCAGTTTCTGCTATAAACAGTTCCACGCTTTGAGGCAGTGCTAAAACCTCTCTTTCATATGACATTTATAGCAACGCTGCTGAACTCTGGGACCACTGCAACAGTGGCTCTGCTCCGGGATGGCATTGAGCTGGTGGTGGCAAGTGTGGGAGACAGCCGTGCTCTGCTGTGCCGAAAGGGAAAGGCCATGAAACTCACCATTGACCATACTCCAGAAAGAAAGGAGGAGAAGGAAAGGTACCTGCTGGCTGATGATGGGGCTTCCCAGAGCACAGCCTCCAGTCAGGATGGGCTTGTGTTCTGCTGCTGGGTTGGGCCAGGAAGAAAGTAGAGAGTTGAACAGAGTGCTCTGAGGGCACCTCTGAGCTGGCAGTAAACAGTACAACTCCAGTTAACTCATTGGGTTCCATTTAGAGGACTTTTGGTGTGGAAAGCCCTCCATGAGCATAAACTGTCTCAGCAGTAAGATCAGCATAACTAAGATTCACTACAGAGCCATGACTACGTTGTTCAGACTTGTCCAAGACTGCCAAGTTAGAACCAAGACCTGAAGAAATGCACTGTGATTCCCAGGTCAGGATTCATCCCACCAAGACACATCCCTTCCATGGAACCTTCTAACAGCTAAAGCCAACCCTCAGTCTCCCAGCTTAGATGCTCCATACCTCATTCCCCATTGTAGCTAGGGACAGAAATTGTGATAGAGAGGGCGGTAATGGTGTGAAACAGTAACTCATGTTCACTTCTCCTTTTGTGCCTCTGGACAGGATTAAGAAGTGCGGTGGCTTCGTTTCCTGGAACAGTCTGGGACGACCTCATGTGAATGGTAGACTTGCAATGACGCGGAGCATAGGAGATTTGGATCTTAAAAACAGTGGTGTGATAGCCCAGCCAGAAACAAAAAGGGTTCAGGTAAAAGAAGGTCTGGTTAGCAGGGACAGCAACATTCGGACTAAGGGGCATCATAGGTGTTTGATGCAGGTGGCAGCACCCACACGACATGAGCCCAAGGTGAAGCCTGATGGCCACGTTGCTTTTTACTAAAGTAACCAGAGAGCAATTCTAATTAAGTTGTTTCAGATTAACACTAAAAAGACAGAAAAGAATCTGGTACTAGATTCAACCAGATCAACTTCTAAAACCCATTTCTCACAGAAAAATACATGATAAGGGAAGAAAGATAACATGATATCTATTACTGAAATAATTAGTCTGTTTGGGTCTTGTGGTCAAATGAATAACTTTGAGGTGAACGCTGGTATAGAACCATCACTGAGAACCAGGTGGGATATGGATGGGCCACCATCAAAAAAAGTAGAATAGGTAGAGGTTTGCACAGTTGAGAGGAAAGGGGGAGGAGGAAAGGGCAGCTAGATGCATTTTACCATAGCTCTGTAGTTGTGTGGAATACAAATTAACCACCCAGAAGGTATTCAGCACAGTTGCCTTCACTTTGGCAGGAAGGCTCTCCTTTCAGCTCACATTCTGTTTGTTACTTTTTTCCAATTTACATTCAACTGGCCCTAATAAAAATGCCACCCACTAGGCCTGAAGGGTTTAGGGAGGTGACTGCAGTGCTATCATGTCTCCCTTGAAATCCTGCCTTTCAGAAAGAATTTTGCTTACTGGATAATGTATCTGGTCTTTTGTAATAGATCTGGTCTTTTGGCTTCCTAGAACTGGAAGCACCTTAAGACACTGTCCTCCAGTACAGGGAACATTGTGTGAGCCATGGATGTACCTGAGGATTCAAGGTGCAGCCTTTGGCTAGCCAAGAATTGGGGTTCCAGTTAGTCCTTGCACAGAAAGCAGGAGAGCAGGCAGTACCCCTGGAAAAAGTGCTTTGCAACAGAGTGTAACAACATGAAGGCAGTTAATCTGCCTTGCAGCACTCACCCCGTTGTTGTGCATTCTGTGTGCCTTTATTGCAGTTGCATCACGCAGACGACAGCTTTCTGGTCCTTACCACAGACGGGATTAACTTCATAGTGAACAGCCAGGAGATCTGCGACTCCATAAGCCAGTGCCATGATCCTGCTGAAGCTGCCCACGTTGTTACTGAGCAGGTAATGCCAGGGCTTCTCTGGGCACCGCATGCTTGTTGGGTTTTAACTTGCTTAGCTCACAGTCCACTGTAACTGCAGCTTGTTCCTGTGCTGAATATGTCATCAGCATAGACAGACACGGCCGGCGTCTCACCATGGTTCTGGATGGTGGCATATCCTGTGGAAAACTCTGGAGCATACCAGAGTGGAGCATCAGGGCTGACACTGCGTTTCTCCTTTCAGGCAGTGCAGTTTGGCACTGAAGACAACTGCACAGTTGTCATAGTGCCCTTTGGAGCTTGGGGCAAGTACAAGAACGGCGAGGTCAGCTTCTCCTTCAGCCGCAGCTTCGCTTCCAGCGGGAGGTGGGCCTGAAGACCTGCCACAGCCATCTTTCCCTGCCATCATCTGGACACAGGAGAACATATCCATCTGTTCATAGGCTGACTCAGTGTCTTGTCCATCTCTTCTGTTCCCAGTGTTTAGAAGGTGCCACTGCTCCCTTGGTGCGTAACGCCCCGTTGTTGCTTACGGCTGACTCTGTTCTGCTGCCTGCCTTTATTCCAGTTGGCACTGAGGCAGCCGTTTGGGATTGTAGTCCCAGCAGCTCCGCACATCACTTTGGTCACATAGACGAGGCTCTGGGCTTTCACCTGAGGCTGGAGGGGTTGCACAGTTGTTCCATATCTACCTGTATTCCCCAGGACCCTTAGTGACCTGGCAGCTCTGTAAGTCTGAGCCACATGTTGGCTCCCTTGTACGTTAATACGTGGGGGAACAAACGCACAATGTTGTTGGGTAGACAGAAAGAGGGCTTGTTGTCTTCCTCTGCTGCAGCCACCCAAAACTCCCCTGTGCTTCAGGAGAAATGGGTGAAAAATATGGCAGAAGTTTCGGAAGTGTTTAGGTTCTGATGCCAGTGGCATTCAGTGTAGCTGTACAACTTTGAGACAGTGCTGGTTTGCAGGGCTTTATGCTCTCACCGCCATCATCCGTGATCCTCTAGCTCCAGGAGACAGACTAGGCTGGAGCCACGTGCTGTTGGACAGATGGGAACCTTTCTCCATTGGGTCCAAAGCCTGTACAGTCTCTGTGGACCATGCAGCAGTCCCCTGCACTGTTTTCTTTTTGCTGTGTCAGTGCTTCACAGGAGCACAAAAGAGGGAAAAAGATGCACAGTTTTGATACTGAGAGACTCTCATCAACTTGAATTTCTTTTCTTTTTTTTTTTAAATAAAGAAAATAAGCTAATTTCAAACAGTTTACTCTTCAAGATCTGATGTGTAAGACAGTTTATTTCTTCATAAATACATGAAGATTTTTGTGCCCTCTGCTGAAGTTGTCTCAGTAAGCTGTGATCTCCCTTGTCTCTTTATGGTATACAGGGAGATGTAAAATGTCCCAAGCAGGCTAGAGAAAGGAGAGAGCGTTAACTTATGGTAATTTTTGTAAGTTTTGGTTATTGTTTCTAGGAGGTGTCAGATATTCAGACACCACAAGATAGTTTTATACTTGAAGGAAGTGTTTCCACTTCTCTTGTTGGGTGGAGTCTGTGTCCAGTGAGGCATGGGGGGACCAGAGCTCTGAGCCAGCTCATTTCACTGCTGTGACATGGACTGCAGGTGACATGTTGGCAGCAGGTGAAGATCTGTCCCAGCATGTCTTGTTGTCTTGTTCCGACCACCTCCTTCCTCCTTTTCACATCAGGTGTGCAGCTTCTGTGGCCTCCGGGTCACCCTGTTGAAATGAAATATGGGCAGAGAAAAATTGGTCTTTTTTCAGGCTTGCTGCAGTATTTCTCATTCTACAGATGTTTCCAACTACACAATTGTAAAATCAAAAGAGGCAAAAGATACTAAGTCACCTTGCAAAAAAAATTTCTGAGGTGCCTGCCCTGATCTTCATTTTCCAGTGTGAAGCACTTATCTTCATTACTTTTATCCCTTTCCTTTTAGTCCAGGGTTACTTAGTCACATAGGCAGTCATTCCACACATTTTTCCTTGCCTCTGGTTGAAGACCTTGCAGCACCCAGCAGAGCACCGTGTTGTACTGACATCATTAGGTACTCAGTGTTTGGAGTGTGCTGGTTTTGTCCTATCACTTGGTGTGTTACATGGTGTGTATAATGTATATATTCAGTTTATAAGCACAGAGAGCTTGTGAGTCTGTGTGTATAAATCTGTTGCACAGTGCCCAGGCCTCTGTAATGAGCAGTCCACTGTTGTACAATCATAATTCCTTCTATGTCCTCAGATTTTCCCCAGGGCTGTGGTTTGGTGTTTGCCTGGGGTCAGAATGGTTGCTGATCCTGGGCTCAGCCTGGCTTACCTGAGGCTGGGACGGCACTTTTAGTTGGTACCAGCAAGAGCAGGTTCTCACTTGAGGAGACATTGCACCTGACAGAGGTTCAGAGAGCTGCTCTGGTATGTGCTGCAGCAGGAACATCTAACAGTCTTCCTCCTGCCAAAGTGTCCTGCTAAAACAGCAAGTCTGGTAATTCCTAGCAAAGGGTTAACCACAGCCAGCAGCAGTTACTCCAGGCACAGGGAAGGGTTGGACTCAGCCTCTGGAGAGGGAGTTGTTGTGGGGGTGGCTTTGGTATCAAATGTCGGACCCACTTGAGGGGCACTGCAGGGCTTTGGACAAGCTCCATAGACACTGTCCTGTTCTAAATGCTGCTCCTTTCAGTTTGGGCAGCTAGCCATCTATCCAGACAGGAGATACCAAGGGCTTGGGGGTGTTCATGACAAGTAAACACAGATTTATTTTTTTTTATGAGCAGTACTGGGTACTTGCCAAGTTGAATACGTGGTATTAAATGCAGGCTGCTAATGAAAAACACTGCAAATGAAGAGCAGGTGCTCTGAGGAGTGACCTGGCAGCTAAAACAGCTTCTAAACGTTGACCCAGATGTAACATGAAGTGAGAGTTTTCCTTCTCACTGGAGATTTCTGGGGCTTTTTTTTTTTTTTTTGTTTGCTTTATCCCTGTGTGGTTGTCTGATTGCATAGAGAATAAAAGCAGTTGGGGGCTTTTATTCCTCTTAATAGAGTGGCTATCCTCTCAGAAGAGGGTCCATCCATAACTTCTTTTGAATTTTATAAAGGAAGGGATAAGGCAAATTCTGTGAAATAGATGATTAGATAAAGATGTACTGGTGGTTGCTATTACCGCTTTTGTACAATCACAGAAACACTTAGATTGGGAAGGACTCCTGGGCATTATCTCACCTCCTGTCTTTACCAGTCAATTATTTTGGGTGGCCCCTTAACAGCTCTGTTCCCTCTCAGTTCACATCCATGGGCTCCCAGCTCACCACCGTCCCATTTCCTCATGCTCCCCTGGTCACGTGGGAAGAGCCAGGGTGCACCATGCAGCATGTGCCTGGGGCAGGAGAGGACTGGGGCACCTCTGATAGCCAAGGGGCCTATAGGGATGAGGAGGTAGAGAGATCAGCTTCAAAGTTTTGGACCCAAGAAGACACTGTCTCCATAGCTGGTGTATCCATATCCAGGCAGCACATTGCTGCCAAGCTGTTACGATGCTGGGACACTTTGAATCACTGTCCTCCACATGGCCTGTGTGCACAGGACATCCTCTGGATCTTTGGAGACCTCATCTTCCTGCAGATCACTGTAGATGGCTCCCAGCACTGCTGATTCTCTCAGGTAATGGATGCCTTCATCTCTGTCAGTCCCCTCTCTGCAGGGGAGTTCACAAGACCATCCTCACACTTGGGAAGAGCCATCTCCAGGGACTGCAAATTGCTGCCTCTTTTCCAATTCCTCTCTCAATTCCCCAGTTCCTAGGAAGGGATTCCAGCTGTTGGGCTTCCTTACTTTCCAGTTGCTCACTGTCAGTCCTGTTATCCCAGCCAGCTATTGGATCAGCCAGGCACCAATCTGCTCACCTAGAGTCCTGTAATCTTCCCACATGTCTCAAAGCTCCGATGGGGTCAGGGACAGGGTAGTTTCTGCTTCTTGTCTGAATTCACTCCTTCCTCCAGTTTATTTGCTGGAGGACCGGCATCTTGATCAAACCTTTCCCCTTCTTCCTCCTTCCTTACTAATCGATGATACGGACCCGGTTTTTTCCTTGACCACAGTTTCTTTTGCACTCCTGGGGCAATTCCTGTAGTTGCTCCTGTTGTTTGGGTCCTTCCTCAACCACAGCCCCCTGAGAGCACTGAACTGTGGCTCCATAGGCACAGGCCAGGCCCCAGTACAGGGTGAGGGGCTGCTGGTTTTCACTGGGGTAAGGCCAGGCCCCCTTCCATCAGGTGACACATCAGTTTTCCAGGGTTGCTTGCCTATTCAGGTGCAAAGTCCCAGGCTGTGGGAGGTGATATCTCTCTTAGGAACCTGCCCAAATCCTTCCACGTGCCCTGCCACCCAGGGAATGCCGCCTCAGGGCGCATTGCAGTATTGCCTCACCCAAACCCTTCTCTTACACCAAGATGACACCGGATTCCACCAACCCACAACACACCACCACTGTTGGTTAGTACTGTTCACAGCTCACGTGGGCGTGAACAAGAACCTCTGGAACCTGCACAGTCATCCACATCAGTCCCAAGTAGGGAGAGGGAGATGAATTTCCTCATCCTCTTATGGAGATGAGACAGCTCCCACGGAACAGCAAGGCCATCAATGCCAGGGACAAAGCCCAGAGCCATTGTTTGTACTAATGTGTTTCCAAGTTCAGCAAAATAAAGAGGTAAGCAGTGCAGCCAACACACTCCATAACTCACACAGGAGCTTCCCACTTAGTAACTGCTGTAGCTGTAGCACACTGGAAACAAAGCTGCCCTTGTCTCGTGCCTCACATCGGTGCCAAAAAGGACCATGGAGGGTTGACCTTGTCTGGACATCAGGAGCCCACCAAGCTGCCAAGACGAAAGGTATTTTAATAAAGTGGATTAAATAAAGATTTAGTCTTAGTGTCTGGCCACTTCCTGGGATGTAGGGCTTTAAGCGCACTGTGGTTGCTCTAGAAGACAAATGTAACAACAAATGCTTTCCCTGTCCTCCTAACTTTTTTTGCAGGGCAGAGTGAGGGGGGAACATTGGACAGACAGTGCTGATGCTGTGGGAGCACCGCTCTGCACCACCCAAAACACTGGTGTGTCACCAGCCCCTTTGTAGGTACCAATGCCCAGCCCAGCATCGCGGGGCTGCTGTGGGGAATGAGCTCCATTCTCAGCCAGACCCTGTGCACACTTCTAGGTTTTCTTCTATCTGGTCACTAAGCCTCCTGCTGCCTGTAGCAGCTCTGCAAGCAACCAGCTGTACACCCCAGGGACCAGCAAAATGCTCCTGCACAGCAGAGAGCTCCTTTCAGCTTGAGGACAAAGAGCAAATTGTCCTCACAACAGCAGCTGCCTGTCAGAGAGGTTTATTATTCCAGGGTATTCCAGGATCTCACACTTTGAATGAAAAGAAATGGAAACTGTTTGCTCTGTAGCTCACTGTCTTTCTCCTGCATCTGATATTTCAACAAAAATATTTTTTATTGCAGACTGAATCAAACATTAAGGGTGACGTACTGAGCAGACCATAACAAGGTTTTGCTTTTCCCCTGCCTTTTAGGGAACGGATTCCAAAGCCCAATGGATCTGATAGGAGTATTTTTTTGCCTGAACACTCCCCCTGAAGCAGGGCAATCTCTCACTGTACAGGTGCTGCAGGAGGGGGAGTTGTGGGTGCAGAAAGGCAAAAAATGCTGTCCAGCTGGGTGCTCGTTTTTACTGTAAGGATATGGAAGGCAAGGGGGGAACCTCACGTTGCTGGAGTGGTGTTCACACAGCAGATGAACAGAAACAGCAGGTGTTCAGAAACCAGCTTAGTCGCTGCCACCTGGAAAGGAGGGGTTTGTGCTTTATAGGGGGAACTCACAAAAATGTCATTTGGAGCCTTGATTTAGGAGATCTGATCTCTCTGGGTGCTGAACACAATGCAAGAGACTAAAATGGGGATGAGATCCAGTAGTTCATTTAATATGGGCCTTCATTGCAGTCAGTCCCTTCGGACCAAAATGCTCAGGGCTGGAGAATAATGATGGAGCACAGCTTGTGCTTGAGAATGGGGGTGTGGAGCAAATCAATATCACTGCTTTTTATATACTTGAGGGAAATAAAAATTATGAGGAGCTTAGACTCACCACAGGATTTCTGCTGACTTCGACAGGATCAAGGTATCAGGCCACATTTTCTGTCTCAGCAGGTGGATGTGCTGTGGTCAAAGGCATTGGGATTTCTACCTAAGGGAGAAGCACAAAACAACAGATACCAGTGAAACTTGATTTTTTTCTTGAACAACAGTCAGTTGGGCACTGCTAGGTCATTGGTCACTCACCCAACAAGCTGAATGTATGGTACAGCAGCACTCGGGGTATTCCTTGGTTCTGAAGCTGCTGCTCTGCATGCAGAGATATCCATTGGGACCCAGGACATCGAGTGCTTGGGCAGTGGTGTGTGTCATAACTTTGTACAGACTCAAGTGCAATTGCATAGTTTGCCTTAGGACTGAGTGTAATTCCTGTGGTTTGATGTTTATCTTTGATGTAATCATTGTCCAAATTTCATCTACTACTACATTTTATAGAGCTGTCCATTTTCCCTTTTCTTCTTTCTTTAAAAATATTTGTTCATTTTCATCAACTCAAAACTACAGTGGAGGAGATAAGTCTGTACTGGAATGCTTACAAGATCTTGTAATAAAGAATTTGCTTCTAGGAGCTGTGTCACTACAAATGGATTTTTCTACTTCCCCTGCACTGCAAACTACCAGAAAAGTTTCATCTTCTCAAGCTGTGTCACAACCATCCTGTTAAGCCCCTGGCCTCAGCCCCTGCCATAAAAAGCATGTGATAACCAAAGCTTTGCCTACAAAGACATTTTCCCCGTGATAACCAGTGCAAAGTACCTTCTGTCTCTGGGCTCTGCCGCATCAGGGTGACATGTTCTAACTTGCTATTTTTGTCTGCCTGGGCGGCTGTCACAGTGAGCAATGTCATCCTGTGACACAGCACAAAGAAACAAATTGGGCCTTCTCAGGAAAAGAATGTATTTTTGCTTCTGCATGAATCAAGACTTTTCTTTTACACTTTAAGAAATGGTAAGGAGAAAATAAGAGCCAAGGGTTTTTACCTTATCTGCAGAAGTAGCCCTGAGATCACTAGTATTTTTAATTAG